AGATTGCAAGTAGCAGTTGTCACAGTGAATGCACAATGTTTCATGCCAGTATTAATGTTTCTTATTCACAGACATTTGGTTTAATCAGTCTGAATACACAAGGATATTGGAGAAAGTCCACTTTGTCTCCGTAAATAGCTAGAATTGACAGAAACAGATGCTGCCTATCAGACACCACATTTTTACCCCTATTTTGAAGGCTCCAAGAATCCCCCAAAGCCCCAGACAAATGGAAAAGGCATGAAACATTGAATCAAGTGAACACAGTATGAGAAGAGCTGTGTAAGTGTGCGGTGGCAAAAAAAAATGGAACTATTCTGGTAGCCGTAGCTCATAATAAGAATGCATGTCTTTTATGTAATAAAATGTTATTAGTCAGAAAAAGTGCTACCAGAATCCTTCTGAATCAAATCAAGGGATCATGCAGCATGCAAATGTAAGCAAAGATGAGAGCCATGAAACAGGACTGTATAAGGAAGAAACCTAGACAGACAGAGGAAGTATGGCAAGATGGAAGATGATGGATCTGGTTAGAAAACAGCTAATACAAACAGGAACTTGTTGATGGGGGAAGGGAGAGAATTGGAATGGAGGTAGAAAAAAGGGAAATTCACTCTCATTTATGCTGGCTGAGCGAGGAAGGGAATAACTAAATGCAGATGTTGGAGTCAAAAAGATTTTTTTAAGACCAATGCACCTTTAGAGGGCCAAACATATCTAAGATCCAAATCTACTTCTAGTAATTCCTTGATGAATATCACTGTTATAGCTAACACACCTAACATGTTGAAAGAATAATCAATTGACATATATTCCCTATACGGGCAGCTGAGATACTTTCTTCTTAAGAACTATAGAAATTGGGTTTGGAAAGCAAACTAGTCCTTGGTTGGATGCAGTGTGTGTGTGTGTGTGTGTGTGTGTGTGTGTGTGTGTGTGTGGAAAATAGTATCGAGGCAGTTCAACATACTGGCTTCCCAGAGGTGTTCTATAAAGCAGACATGAAAATAATGTAATTATTAACTTTACTGGAATAAAATTCATATGTGGGAACAATGCTGAGGCCAAAAACTATCCTTCAAGCTGATTCTAAGCATCTTGTAAGAAGCTGTAAAGATGTTTCTTGGGATGTAAAGTAATAATAAAAATGTGTGGAGTACTAGGCAAAGGCACTCAGTGTTGAGATTCAGGATAAGTTAGCATCAAGGAGAACATCTATGGTTTTGCCCTCACTTGCATCTGGCAAAACTGGAAAAGTAAGCAGCCTTGGCTGACTTCAAACTGACAAATGGGAAGGAGTTTTCCAATGTACGATGAAATCTGCATGAAAGCAATCAGCGTTTTCCTCTTGACAAGGCTACTAAGGTTTTTAATCGTGCAGGTAACATCAAGAAAACAACTAAGCAATAACCCAGGCATCAGCATTGCCCAACTTCTCAAAACTTGAGTACAGGTAGTCCACAACTTACAACTGTTTGTTTAGTGACCATTCAAAGTTAAAACAGCACAGGAAAAAAAGTGACCTATGACCGTTTTTCATGCTTATGACTGTTGCAAGCACCCCTGTCATCACGTGATCAAAATTCAGGCACTCGCAGCCAACTTATATTTATGACGGTTGCAATGTCTCTGGGTCATGTGATCACTTTTTGCAACCTTCTGACAAGCAAAGACAACGGGGAAGCCAGATTCATTTAACAACCATGTTACTAACTTAACAACTGCAGTGATTCACCTCACATCTATGGTAAGGAAGGTCATAAAATAGGGCAAAACACACTTAGCTGTCAACTTAGCACCACAACTGTGGGGCTCAATTGTGGTCATAAGTCGGAGTATTTGAACCTTTGTCTAATCATCTTTTGCTTTACAGTTCTGGGATAGCTTGAAATACTTGATGTCATGCAAAAGAAACACAAATAATCTCTGCCTTAAACGCAATATTCTTATCCACCGCACTCTTAATCCTCCAACAAATATAAATCTGCTTGATGAGGAACTAATTGTCCTGATCCTTTAAAAGTATTATTAGGCAATTATATCAGTATCTTCATCTAGTGTTCTATCAAGAAAAGTTCTCTCAAAAAAGTTTTGGAGAAACACATTTTCAATACTCAAAGCTCTCTACTTACTTAATTTAGCAACCAAGCTATCTACCTCTGTGATGCGCACAGTTCTTTTGTGTTTACTAAAAATAAAGGTCAACTATAATTAGTGGCAACTTAGAAGATAGGAAGCGTAAAATAATTATTCTCCACTTTAGATAAAACCATTTTCTGTGTGTGGTAAAACATTACAGCCCTTGCAATAGTTATGATCAGTTAAATAAGCAGTGGTGTGTAAGGAAGTGAGATATTTAAGTAAGAAAAACATTATTTGAAATGGCAAATTCAGTCAATTGAATACTCTGGGTGAACCTGAAATATGAAGCAGGCTGGGAGAACTCTTAAAGATCGGTATTTTTGACCATGATTCTGGATTTCTTTCCAAAAGGACCACAATTTTTAACTGTAATAGGAAAATAACTGCCATTTGGGAATATTACATATTTGTTTATTTGTCAATTAAAAGATTTCACAAAGTTTCTAAATCTTAAATCCATTCTCTTTGAAATTTGGCAAAATTGGTCATTCCTTTCTGGATAAGTTCTGTGTGGTATCCATCCAAGCCTACCCAATTTTGGCCATTAGAAATGAGGTTAGTAACAATGAAAGCCCGAGCGCTCTTGTTAGTTTTCCTTGGAAGAAAGCCTCAGAGGTTAATGAATATAGGATCTCAGCAATTTGTCCCATATCAAGCTTTTACTCCGATCATGTTTAATGCTAAAATCAGCAATTTTAGCAGATGACTTCAATATACTGTATATGCAGTGCCTTTGTCCTTGTGGTAGAAACTGAGTTGGCAGAAGATGCTATTTTTATAAAGAAATACAATCTACTTATATTACTAGGAATATATTAAACTGAGATGGAGAACACATTGGTACATATCTCCTGAGTGACCAATCGCTGAAGTTTCTTATATAACGATCAGTTGGGAAGGTGAGTAAACCCTAACACAATTCTAGATATCCCCTTATAGTGTATTCATCTATTAAGTCACTTTTTAAGCTTTTAACAATGGATAATTGGCTACATTTAGTAGGGATAAAATTAGCATAATTTTTACTGTTTGCTCATTGCAGAACAGGGGACTCATATATGCCACTTTCTTCTGGTAGATGGGTGGATAAATCAGTTTGTATCATATAAATGTATTAAATGTGTATGAAGTGATGGCTTTCTATTTTATGTCAAATTACTATGCTAAAACAATTTTAGATTTGTGCCCTAGTTTTTCACCAGAGTTGTTCACGATTTACATAAGATGGAGCAGATCACATTTAAAAGGCACTTCAAAGAAATGGGGGGAAAATCCACACATGAAGACTATTTACTTCCTTTGAAAAGTTCTCTGTTGATCCAAAAACACTAATAACAAACTAAAAGCCCATTTATAGCAGTTCTAGTTCCTCACTCTTGAGATTTAAAAATCAAGATCAATAAAAAATGGAGCATAATACCTAATTATTTCAAACAATATTTGGCTTTCTCGCTTAAAAAGACTCAAGGCAAATCCTCTAATTTTAAATTTATGTTTCTTTCTACAATAATATTATACTTTGGGGTGACAAACGTACAATACAATCTGTACATTTTTTTTAAAGAAAAGATTTTAAGAGGAGGATGACGGTGGATCCTGCTCTGAGTTCTTTGGTGCATTCTTTTCTTTCTTTTTTTTTTAAAAAGCACATTCCAATCTAATGTCTTCCATATGTATTTTCACCAGCAGAATCCTTACAATAGGAAGGAAAGCTTTGCATAACTTTATCAATTGTTCCAAGACAAAAATAGCGATTTGATTATTAGAAAACTCAATTAGTTTAGCACATGCCAGGGAGAAGAAAAGCTTTATCATAAATTACAGGTAGTCCTCGACTTATGACAATTGAGCCCCACATTTCTGTCACTAAGTGAGACATTTGTTAAGTGAGTTTTGCCCCATTTTACAATCTTTCTTGCCACAGCTGTTAAGTGAATCACTGCAGTTGATAAATTAGCGACCTGGTTCTCAAGTGACTCTGGCTTCCCTGTGGATGTCGCTTGCCAGAAGGTTGCGCATGACCTTGGGACACCAAAACGGTCATAAGTATGAACCAGTTGCCAGGCTTCTGAGATTTGATCACATGATCAGGGGGAGGCTGCAAAGCATCGTAACTGGGAAAAACGATGCCATTTTTGTCATTTGAACGGTCACTAAAGTTCGAGGACTACCTATACAGAATGATTTTAAGATTACCTCCAGCACTGGTCCAGCTCCAAGAATGATTTGTTCTACCCCACTGGCGAATCCCTTTTGGCTAAGAGCGGTGAGGTGATGAATCAAGAAATTTGTGCTCTGGGTTTTGCCAGACCCACTTTCTCCAGAAATGACGATACACTGGTTCTTCCGCCGCAGTAGCATGGCATGATACGCGACGTCAGCCACTGCGTAGATGTGGGGCTCCAGCTTACCCAGATGATGATTATCGTACATCTTGACATATTTAGGGTTATAAATGGGAAGGAATTTGAACGGGTTAATGACTATTAAAATGCTTCCAACGTAGGTGTAGATTTTTTCTTGCTTAAAGCGATTTCTGAGGTTTTCCAAGAGTGTCCTCTCGTTCAGATCTGGCAATGCACATAAATCGTCATAATCCTTGTACTGTGGTTGGGGAAGGAAGCCACGTTCCATCATCCTGCGCCGTTCTTCGGTGACCTGCAGCCAGGACTGGAGACTGGCGTAATGGATCGATCCATCCAGGTTCTTTTCTCTTAAAAGAAAACGGTAGTCCTCTCCGCTCAAGCGGTTCTCTAGGGCCATCCGTGGCCAGAGCATCATGCGTTGGACAGGGCAGTCGGTGGGGTTGAGGATCCATTCCTCCCCACCAAATTCCTTCACTTCGGCCAAGACGTAGCATTTTGTTTTGTCCAGCTGCAGTTTGTTAATCAGAGAGTCTATCACCTCAGCAGCGGTAGATGTTTTTCGTGCAATAATGGGACAATAAATGGTCCCTTCGGCAATGTTCCCAGGGTAGATGTGCAGTGTGTGCTCTGTGTCTTCAAAGCGTCTTCTTCCTCCGGTATCATTTCCACTCATATTGGACTTCTTCCCATCAGTAACTGCAATCCATTTTTAATAAGGTTAGATAAGAGCTCATGGTGACAGTGCTAAAATAAAAAAGAAGAACATATTTTAAGGACACCGATTATTTATAGAACAGACACAGATTTCAATTATAAAATCCTCTTCTAGAACCAGACATTTTTAAACAGTAGGGAGAGAAGTAGAAAGCATATGGAAAGTACATGTTCTGTCGCTAGATGGGAGAAATTGGAAAGAGGTAACCATTTTAATGAGATGTGGTGTGATTAACTTACTTTTTTATGTTACCCTCAATAATTAATATGTTGATCTTCTGTAGTCTGCTAGGGACCAAATTAATAGTCAGTAGCATCTAAATAAATGCTGTATAGGCCAAAAACATTGTGCCAACAGAGAATATATTTCTTTCAAATACTGATTTGGTGATGGAAGAAATGCAAATTTTTTCTAGTTTATTTATAAATTATTCTAAGGGAATTACCTTCATTGTCAATTATCTACAGTATTCATATAAATTTAATTTATTCTACTATACAATAATGGTGTTTCAGTAACTATCTTTGTATGCTTGCAAGTGTAAATAGGTCTTCAATCCATTGAGTGAAAGGAATCATTTATTTATCTTTCTAAAGACAGCATGTTAGGGCAGTACCCTAATGCCCCATCATAGAACGCATATTACAACACAAAGGAACACGATGCAGAGTATCATGAAGACAGGAAACTTGCCGTATTTTAGCCAGCCCTATCAAGGTTTGCCCTCACACCCTGGAAACACATTATACACAAAGAGAGAAGGAAATTCAATTAGACTGAACTGGTGCCAGCTTGCCCTGCAGTTCTGCTCATGTGGCATGTGATCTTACACTGGCAGAACCTATCGATCAAAATGTATATAGCCATAAAATACTATTTGCAAGCTACTGTCTTTAGGCTTCACCCTGTAAGAACATTTAAGGCGGTAATCATGTCACGACCAGTAATGGGACAGTGATTATTTTACCGAATATTGTGTATTGTGTAATATTATCAGTGGTCCCCACCTTTTTGGGACCAGGGACCAGTTTCAGAAGAAAAACTGTCTTTCATGGACCAGGGGAGGGGGTGGGATGGTTTCACATACAACCTCACAACCTGAATACAACCTGCTCAGATGAAGCTTTGCCGCTACTTCCACAGCCTGGTTTCTAACAGGCCATGGACTGGTATTGGCCCATGATAAAGGGGTTGGAGACCCCTGTATTAGACGATTAGCTTAGTCAAAGGTATTCGTATGGGGTCTATAGTCAGGCAGGAAGGTAGGACCAGTCCCCATCACAAAAGTTGTAAGGGGCCATCATAAAAAAATTCAGCACAGATCAGAGATAAATAATGTAATTTTGAATATAATAAAAGCCTGTATTTTATTCGGTACCTCCAATAATATACTAACAACTGTAAAGCAGTGCATGAAGTAGAGAAGGACTTAAGATCTTGATTGTTCAGGTAATGCAAAAGAACACGAATGCTATTGATAAACTCTCATTGAACACGGCCGTGATTCTCCCTTTACAGCAACCCTTCCTCCCCCCCTCACCTTAATGAAGCAGCTCGTGAGCTAATTAAACAGACTTTCTACCAAAAGGAATCCGTCTCAGGGACAACCTGGGAGGACCATTTGGATTGCAGTGGATACTTTTCAGTTCAGTTATTAAATTCTATGCGGGAAAAAAACTATTGTCTGTTACATCCTTAACATTTTCAGTCCTCTACCCCAGTAAACTGACATAGGGAATCACATCACAATCAATATTGAGCCTGAATAAAAAAGAATAAAAATGAATAAAAATAATAGTAACATTCAACTCTAGTCAGATATGTAAACATGCAGATAGGTTTAGCTTATTTCTGAATTTCCTCTGCCAGTTACCATGAAATACAGATCTTAGAAAGTCAATTAGCGCCCAAATATTTAGTATGAATTCATCAGCAATTCAGCTACTGGACAGTAAGCTTTCAAGTATCACATATGTAGGCACTTATGCATGAACCTAAATTTCATCTGTGGGACTAACTAAAGTGGCTAATAACTCAAAGCATTTTCTACAGCAGGGGTCTCTATGGCTGGCTGAGGAATTCTGGGAGTTGGTCCACAAGTCTTAAAGTTGCCAAGGTTGGAGACCCCTGCTCTAGAGCAATGTGACTCTGTAAAGCAAAACCAAGCTAGAAACAATTAGCTAGAGAGGCAAATTTGCAAGATGCCAAACAGGAAGTTTTTAGTGGTAGCCCTACAGGAATAGTAATCCTCTGCTTCCCACACCACTAATAAATGCACACACAACACAAATGCTTAAATAGTTATGCATAATATTACATTTATGCTCATGTATCAAATGACTATTTCACTTTTAACTGAATTAGGTATTTCAAGGCAACATAATATATTACAATAACATACTAAACTGAATCAATTTAACATAGTCCATTTGGAAGTAATTTTTCATGTGCTCACATTGAGATGTATCTCATAAAGTAACATACTACCAGTCTTTTTCAGCTGATAGTAAGGAACTGAATTTGGAATTTATCTGATTTATACTCGACTTCTCTGCTCTCAAAGTCTCCAGGTCAGTGCCTGATTCTTCCCATTAGGTGAATTCAATTGTTGTCATATTCAATCCCTGAATGCCAAAGGAATTAAAGTATCTCCAGAAGAAATATATTGTAAATAAGCTGAATGGTTTTAATTTTAACTGTATTTCCATCTAAATACAGTTAAAGCCAAGATCCTCACAAATCTCCATCCTTGAACTGATTAAATGCCTAAAAATACCACATCAGAGTTCTAAAATAAATCGAATGTGAATTGGGGAAACTTCTAACAACAATATACATCTGTAACATTTCCCTTTGTAACAAAATAGTAAAAAGCAGTCACAAAAACATAACAAAAACATATCCAGTAAGGATATTATAGGCAATTTAATATCTGTTCTGAGTAAGCTGGTAACAGAGAGATAGGTCTTAGTTTAAAAAGTCAGCAAGGCTATCTTAACAATAAAGAGTTTGACACTCTCAATTAGCATGCTGATAAGATTTCAAAACACTTTACCAAAGGATCTATATAAAATTAAGATTGGGAGAAGAGGTCATTTTATAGATTGGTAGTGGTCATGTAAATGAAAATATATGCACAGTTCATGATTGAAAGAAAAAAAACCATGGGCGCCTCTAAAGTACCTATATCAGAACTGCTTCTTTGAAATGACCTAAAGTTAGCAGTGGGGTGACCAAATTCAACAGTATCATTATTTAAATAGTTAAAAACAAAAAGGTGCTTTTACATACCAAATATTCCAAAATAATCTAATGGATAACTTCATTATAACCTTGGTCTCAACAACTGGCCATAACTATTTAAACCAGCAGCCCATCTGGAATGTCTAATGAAATATATTGTACAATGCAAAAAATTATACTGATAATAGCAGTCAGTAATAAAGAGGATTTGACTAGAAAATCTGCATTGTCCTATTGCGACCAAACCTCTTTCTATGGAGGAAGGGAAACAAGCCACTGCTATTTTCAGACATATCCTTACATTTTTCATAATTCTATTTTTATTGCTGCCTCCTGAAATGCCATTCCAAACTTATCTAAAAGAAGATTTTTGCTGGCTTAGAGATCACACCTAGCACAGGAAGAGGTAAGGGCAGGAGCTGATATCCTGATCATGCAAACTATCACGACCATGTCATGAACCAGATAGAATGGAATTTGCTACTTCTTTTCCCAGTAATTGTGCCAATTTTTTTCAAGGTACATTGACAATGGCAATAATCCTTTATAATCACTGTTTGAAATGCAAGAACACATCAGTGCCAAAGCAAGCTCTGAGGCAATCAATTAAATCCTTTTCAGATTTCCCCAAATGGCTCAGATACAACTTGCCCTTTTGGGGAGGAAGGACAGAGGTGAAAAATATCTGTAAGACTGAAAGGAGCTGCATTATGAAAGGATTTGAAACCTCAACTGCAATTAAGGCAACCTACAATAGTTTGAGCAATAGCATGCAAAAGTCCTGAAGAACACACTTTCAAGATTACTGCCATTATCTCAATTCCAATAGAAATCTCTGATCTATTTCATACACTTTCCTCAATTTTAAAGAGCCTCCATTTCCTTCCTACCCCAAAATGGTGGATGAGGGAAACTGCTTACATTAGAATTATATCAACTGAAACTAAGTCACATGTCCTGCATTACTGGCAAGTCTGGATTTATTCCACTTCCTGAAATAAGCGCACTATTAAAAAAAAAAAGGAAACTACAACTTCTCCTATATAATTAGCATTTTTCTGTCTTCTTCAGACATGTCCTTTAAGAAGCACCTATCAACTGGGAATTATTTCCAGGGTTACAAAAGGTAACAAGCAAATCTTTTGCTCACGAGTTTCTTGCACAATTGCTCATGCAACTAGCTGCTGCAGAATTTCTTTACTTATTTAACTTAAACTATCTCTACTAATTATACAATTTAAATAATGATAGATGAAGCACTGAAATAATACATTCAGATTTGCAGTGTGTTTCTTATATATCTCTACTCATCTTTGCTTAAAAGTTATGAGTCCTTCTATGAGGAAGATGGGCAGTTTCTAACAATAATTTCAAGGCAGACAAGAAGTAACCAAACTCCACACTATTTAAATAAAGCAGACTGACTATGTAGCAAAAGATTACTTGTAATTCTAATGTTTGTTTGGATCTTAGCTTTACTGTTTATTAAAGCAGCATTTGTATTTTTTCGCCCATGAACATGGAAACGTTGGTGTCTAAGTGTGATAATATGAGTTTGGATTGCTCTAAAAGAAATGTATCATCACTGGAGACTCGCACCTAAGATCTAATGACTGGGGGTTGGTGAGAATTTAGAAGGAAATAATCCATTAAGAACTAAATGCATAATATAACAACAGCACATTCAATCCATGATGATTTGAATGTGTACAATGGACCCACTGAATTTACCATAAAGTGCCTTTTTTGGCTACCAGGAAAGGGTTAATCCACTTTTTCTAATTAA